ATTTTTCCTAATTTAAGGGCGCAAAATGCTATGCCTATGTAATTCAAGAATGCAAAGTGTCAATTACCCAATTTCCAAGTATTACTAAGAATAAATGAACTTCGACGCGTTTATCACATTAAAAACGGGAAATAGCCGAAAATTTGTTACCACTTACCATCGTACAAATTCACAAGTACATATGAAAAGGATGCATATTAAATCCTCTTTCTTTCCATGTGTTTTATGAAATTCATAGGCTATAAACTATTCCTTCCGTTCCGAATTAACCGTCCTTTTCAAAAATTTCAATAAATGTTCTTGTATTTAGGAAAAAACACATTAAAAATACTAAAATAACATTAATGATTTAATAATATGATAATATAGTTAATACTTAAAATTGAATTACTAAAGTTAAAAAAAAAAAAAAGTTAATACAGTATTAATAATCTAAAGTGACAGACAAATTTTGAACAAAATAGTTTTAAAAAACGACATTTATTATGAAACATTTATTATGAAACGTTGGAACAGAGGAGTATAAACAAACTATAATCACGAAACAAGGTAGAAAATATAATGCAAAACGTACAACCACATAATAAATAATTCAGAGTGCTGACGTAATGAAGACTGGGATTCGGCCCGAGTTGTCGTCATCTTCTCTACTCACCATCATCTCAAGCTCCTTCACGAACACTTCCATGGCGTCCGCCGGCAAGCATACCGGAACCACTATTCCGTTCTCCCCCTTCTTATTTTTAAACGGTATGTAGAAACTCGCAAGTGCAACCCCAGGTATAGCTCCTACGTCGCACTTCGCCGGACCTCCGGACACCGCCTTCCCCCACCCAAAGTCCAAATCTCCGATGCCGGCTCGGGTCAGGTCGGAAACCACGTAACTCCGAACCACCGTGAAGTGTGGCCGCCCCCTGATCACCAACAGATCCGCCAGCGACCTCATGTACTCCTCCGTCACGTCGGACTTCGTCTTCCTTATGAGCTCCAGCGCGTACTCGAACGGGTTGCTGGAGAGATCTCCGGCGGCGGCGACGGCGGCGGGGAATGCGAAGGCGTTGCCGTAGTAGCCCTTCGGCAGCGGCGGGTTGATCCGGCTCCGGTAGTTGACGATGCAGAGCATCCGGACCTCCTCGTTGGGCTCCGGGGAGATGGCGATCGTGCGGCACCGCCAGAGGCAGGCGGTGAGGAGTTCGAATGTGGAGCAGCGGCGGAGGTGCGGCGGGAGGCGGCCGCGGAGGGCGGAGATCTCCGCGGCGCCGAAGAAGAAGGAGCGGTGGACCATGTCGTCGAGTGGGATGATGGTTCCTTTGGTGTCGGGCACCTCGTCGTACTCACGGTGCGTGCAGGTCACGCGCGGCGGGGCGCGTGCGTTCAGGAGGTGCCTCTCCCACACCGGTGGGATCGACGGGGATTTGGCGCCGCGGGCGATTTCGCCGACGGCGGTCATGAACTGGACGAGGCCGAAGGCGTCGCTCATTGTGTGGTTGAGGCGGAGGGCGAGGATGAACCCGCCGCATCTCAAGCGCGTGACCTACAGACGACTTGCTCTTAATTGTTGAAACATAGAAAACGGTTTGAATTTTGATCATTGGATATCTTATTTTAATTTTTTAATCTAGTTATTATATTAATATAGTGCTTATATAATTTTACTATTAGCATAAGTATAACAATTGTATCAATATATTCCTAAAAAATATTCTTACCTTATAATTTTTTACTTAATTCAATAATCCGCCGGTTCGGGCCGGTTCCGGGTCGGCCCGAAAATTTTGAATTTT